AAACTTTTAAATATAGCACTTTGTTTTATATACACATATATTCATGAAGATGGCTAAAAAATGTATTCAGAAGGAACTATTCTGCTTACACATATTCCTAGTTAAATAGTATTTATATGACAAAATGAGCATAACAATAAATTAAAAAAAAAACATGTTTTCTTTTTTTTCACATACCAGTTGTACAAACAATAAATTATAAAATCAGTGCTGTGTATGTTCAGTGAAACGGCCATTTCCCATTGAGACGGTAAAACAGTACTGCATTACATTGAGTAAACAGATGAAATTTTGGAAAAAAAAAGTTCATGTACCAAACACTGAATCACATGAGTTCATTCAGTTGCTGGATTTGTGTAAAATTAATCAAACAAGTTCACAAATTAAGCAACTTCAGCAGGTTTAAAGTCAACATGAAATGCATTCACAACCCATTGCACTTCTGTAATGTGATGCATTTCCAAATGAAACGGCATATTTGATGAGAAAAAAAAGTAGTGCAAAGCTTTTGCACTTAATTGTGTTAATTTTTAAAATGAATTTTATTTACAAATTGATGAGATGGTCAAATGGAATGGAATCAGATGATATCAAATTATTATGAAAGATTATATATAATAGGAGAAGGTAAAAGTAGAGTTGATTCATGTTGACTTTAAACTGATTTCCGCTACTCATAATAAGACGCACATAAATCACATGTATGTTATTGAATGATCTGAACACACATCACATATCTGAGAAGTGGTGTTAATTTGCATGAGCATTTGCAAATGTAAATAAGACTGTTTGAGCTATGAAGCATGAAAACACAATTCGTGTCATTCTTTCCTTCAGCTTCAGCGTTTCACTGTCTGAGAAATGAAGTTGTGAGGTTGAACTGAGATGAAAAATTATTAAAGGAATGTTCTGGTCTCAATACAAGCCAAGCTGTTCATTAACACAGAAAATTATTTCAACTCTTCCCTCAATTTCAAAGATTGTGTTTACAGTAACTTACAATGGAAGTCTGTGGGGCAAGACATCGTATCAGAATGAACGTCAAAAAACATTGTTTTGAACAAGACTTGTTAAAAATTTTTAAATGTCACCTTGTCTGTGCAAAGTTATATGAACATGTAAAAGTCACTTACATCAGTAACACATAAGTTCATCTGCCAAGAACAGAAGTCTCCCAGCTAACATGTTCTAAGACAGGAGGACCAGTGTCCTGGAGTCTAGCTCCATCCAGCCCCACCACACTTTCCTGGAGGTTTCTAGTGAGTCTGAAGACCTTGATTAGCTGGTTCAGGTGTGTTTAATTGGGGCTGGAGCTAAACTCTGCAGGACAGTGGCCCTCCAGGAACAGGTTTGGACACCACTGTTCTAAGATTATTGTGCCAATGTTCCCATAGGGTTATGAAAACGCTATTCCTGATATTCTGTGAATGTTCAAAATATCCAGTTTTTGAAATGTTTTAAAAATGTTTTTTTTTCTTTTCTTGGTTATATTAACATAGAGGGCCCTATCATACACCCGGCGCAATGCGGCGCCAGGCGTGACGCAAGTGTTTTTTGCTAGTTTCAGCCCGACGCAGTTGTCATTTTCACGTCCTGCGCCAAATGTTTTAAATAGCAAATGCATTTGCGCCCATTTGTGCGCCCATGGGCGTGCTGGTCTGAAAACGGGGTGTGTTCAGGTGCATTGTTGGCGCACTGCTATTTTGAGGCAACTAAAATAGACTGTGCCTTTGACCAACTGAAACCTGGTCTAAAGTCAATGGCGCAATATTTTTTTTTGTTAATTAAAGAGCGCGTTAGTAATATTAGCCTACAGGCAGGTGAACAACGCGTTTACACTCTGCTTATTACAAACACAGGGACGCGCAGCAGTGCACAAACATGCCAAATATTAAAAATGAAAGGATTACAATGTAAAATATTATTATTGTGCCCCGTTGATGGTCTACTCGTGCGCTTTAACCTTGCGCACGAGCAGAACCTTTCCTCTCTGGAGAAGTGTTCAGTCTTTGCTCTTTCAAATTCCGCCATGTAAATAGCGAATCCGCCATGACACGAGCGCAACTGGCATTTAAAGGGAATGGGAGATGAGACTCTGATTGGTTTATTGCACGTTACGCCCAAAACACACCCATGACTCATTTACAGAATAGGTACAACCCTTTTGGACCATGCGCCCGGCCTGCTGACCGTTTTTCCCATCGTTAAACTAGCAAAAGTGGATTCGGACACGCCCTAAGTGCACTTGTGCCGTGCGCTTTAGACCATGAGCTTAGATCGTTAAAATATGGCCCTAAGGGAACGTTCCATTTTAGAATTTTGCAAATATTATTGGAATGTTACTTCTGAAACATTTATGAAAAATAAATAAATAAATAAAATGAATGATGTATAATAATGTTTTTGAGCTAACATTTTGAGAACATTAATAACGACCTGATTAGTCTGAGTCAACATTCCATTAATATTACTGGAAGGGAAAAAAAACCCTTTATTCATAACTATGAGAGAACCTTGCCAGAATGTTCTGAGAACGTTCCCTGTTAACTGGGCTTACAGTTCAAATAACACATTTTTGTACATAGCAATTAGTATACAGGCTTTAATAAACATACGTTTCCCATTTCTGCTTTAACCCTGTGTAATTCTTGCCTCTTAGACATCCATTATAAGTGTTTCACTGCAAACAAGGCTTTTGATTGTTTTGAACCTGGAACATTCCCATGAACATGTAAACGGTGCGACTGTGAGTGAGTGAGCGATCAGCTGGCATTATTGCGAGTATCAAGGGCACACAGTGTCTTTCAAGCCCTGAATGCAGAAAATGTCAAACACAGTTACAAATCAGAGCCCTCTTTAGTTTCTCTGTAACAAAGAAAGAAAGATCAGTTAATTGTGTGTGAGTTTAAGACTCAGACAAAAATAAACTTAGAGTGCACAGGAACAAACACATCAACATCAGCTGAAAACCTGAAAATGAGCTTAGGAACGGATCTTTCGGTCAGTCATATTCCTGGTTCATCTTATGAGTCTTACGAGATTCACACTGGAAAATCAGCAGTCCACATCGATCTTTCTCTTCCTGCAGTTGAAGCTTACTTTGGAGGGAAGATGGAAATGTGCCAGACCCTGAATGGGGGCATTCACACTGACAGCGATTTGCAAAATTACTTTTGACTTTATTTTTCAGGGAGAGCTGATAATGTGAGATCAAGTTTAACTTTATGCAAATTGATCTGCTTTATGCAAATGAGCTGTGGTGTAATGCTGTGACGACCAATGGGAGCGCAGACTGATATAGTTGGATAATGCAGTCAAGTAGGGCTGCATGATAATATGATAACCATGATTAGTTTGCTCAGAAATCATGAATGTTCTCATTTGAGACATTGCTTTTTACATTTCATAAAAATTATTGCAATCATTGCACCGCTTACACAGAAATCAGTGTCAAACCAAGCAGCTTTCTGATGGTCAATGCGGTGAATTCCTGTGACCAACCTGAAAATGAGCAAAACCTGCATGGCAAAACAGTTCCTATTGTAATGACTTGATTTTGCAGATGTGAACACATCAAACACTACAGCAATGGTTTAAATCACTGCCAATGTGAACTCAAGGGGCATGTCGTTCGGTTTTCATTGCATGGATTTGTCAAAGGGACATGGCCAATCTTTGCCACATTCGAGGCTAGAGCCAAAGCTCCTTGTCCAAGCCATAACGTTACATGAATGTGAACACTAGCAGGATTCAGGAAGTTCATCTGATTGAGGGGTCCTCAACACTTTTTACTTTTTGTACATGATATTGATACAGAACATTTAGCTAACGTTACCATTAAGTTATGAAAACATTATTTCTGAATGTTCTCTGTTACAAATGATTTTTCTTAGTTATGAGAAAGTTAAGGGAGCATTCCATTTGATCAATAGTAAATCTTAAAATCAAACACTACAACAATGGTTTAAATCACTGCCAGCGTGAAGTCAAGGGGAGTGTTGTTTGGGTCAGAGGGTGTGACTTTGTCAAAGGGGCGTGGTTGAATGTTGCCACAACTGAGGCAAAAGCCTCAAACACTACAGCAATGGTTTAAATCACTGCCAGTGTGAAGTCAAGGGGTACGCCATTTAGATCAGAGGGTGTGGCTTTGTCAAAGGTGCATGACTTGGTGTTGCCATATTCGAGGCTGGAGCCAAAGCTCCTTGTCCAAGTCATAATGCAACACGATTGTGAACACTAGCAGAATCCTACAGTGATTGGAACAGCATTAATACAAATGCAACTGCAAAGGTTCAGTCTACGCGCTCCACGAAGCTCATTCAGGAAGCTCATCTGACTGAGGGGTCCTCAACATTCTTTGTTTTCTGGACAAAATACTGATACAGAACATTTTGCTAACATACTCATTAAGTTATGAAAATGTTATTTCGGAATGTTCTCTGTTTTTTTTAAAGTTTTTTGAAAAATATATTTTTTCTTGGTTATGTGAATGTTAAGGGAACGTTCCATTTTATCAATGTGAACGCATCTTAACATCACTGCCAGTGTGAACTCAAAGGGCGTGTCATTTGGAGTAAGGTGGTGTTTTTTTCAAAGGGGCGTGGCTGAATGTGGCCACATTCGAAGCTAGAGCCATAGCTCTCTGTCTGAGTCACAATGCAACACAATTGTGAACACTAGCAGAATTCCACAGTGATCGGAACCGCATTTATATAAACGCAAGATTTAGTCTAATGTGCTCCATGAAGATCAGATCTTTCAGGGAGTTTGTCTGATTGAGGGATCCTCAACACTTTTTGTTTTTTGGACATGATATCGATACAGAACGTTATGGTAACATTCCCAATAAGTTATACAAATATTATTTCTAAATGTTTTTTGAACATCCGTTTTGAAATTTTTTTTATGTTTTAAAAACATTTTTCTTGATTACTTGAACATTAAGGGAACATTCCATTTTATCAATGGTAGATGTGAATGCATCTTAACATAAAAAACTGCAGCAATGGTTAAATCACTGCCATTGTGAATTCAACAGGCGTATCGTTTGGATCAGGGGTGTGGCTTTGTCAAAGGAGCATGGTTGAACATTGCCACATTCGAGGCTAGAGCCTCAAACACTACAGCAATGGTTTAAATCACTAGCAGTGTGAACTCAGGGGGCGTGTCGTTTGTATTGGGGGTGTGGCTAAACATCACCACGATCGAGGCTGGAGTCAAAGCTCCTTGTCTGAGTCACAATGCAACATGATTGCAAACACTAGCAGAATTCCACAGTGATTGGAACAGCATTTATACAAACGCAACTGCAATGGTTCAGTCTAAGTGCTCCATAAAGCTCAGTCAGGAAGTCTGTCTGATTGAGGGGTCCTCAACACTTTTTAATCAGGCAGTGTTTGAAGGCTGACGGCCGTGAGCTGATCAGGCAGCTCTTGGACAGCTTCCCTTGAGGGTTCTTGCACTGAACTGTGCGACTCTGCCAACCTGTATCGCAAGTTCTGGAGCACATCATCCACGATCCCATTACCCAGCGTGGCCCCGCTGGTGGTGTCATTGTCGGAGGCTCCATCGTCGCAGGAACCTCGATAGTAAATGTCACGACCTCTGCTGATGATAGCGCTGCGGCGGTTCCTGAAGTTGCAACGACCGTTCTTGGTGGAAGCGGCATTTTGCGTGGCATGAAGAAGCTGTAGCGGATGTCTAGTGGTTTCTTAGCATCCGTGGCCAGAATCTGCACCACCAGGCTCTCCTGAAGGGCCCCGGGGCCCATGCTATGAAGGGCCTCGTCCCGCTGACTCCAGCCGGTATAGTTGAGAACAGAGCCGTTGAGGGGGATGATGGTCTCGGACGTGGAGATCATGAACTTCCCGTTCAGCAGGTATTCACCTCCGGGCCGCCGCAGTGCCAGATACGCTGTGTAGCGTGACTGGCCTTTGGCTTTGTACTGTCGAACCTTCAGGTGCGTTGAACCCTCAGGAACCTTCACCACATCTGTGTAGCCCTTACTGGAGAACATAGATACAACATCAACTGACCTCATTAGTCTTTTTGTCTTATTTTGTATTTTTTTCCCAGTACAAATATCTAAACATTCTTAAATCAAGATACATTTACTTGAGAAGCAAAATGACTTTAGATATTAAGTCTTGTTTTCCAATAAAAAATTTAGAGAGGTTATGCCTAAAACGAGAAATATCTGCCAGCAGGATCAGAAAAATAAACTGAATTCAAAGGGAAAACAAGTTTATTTTTCTTAACCTATTGGCAAATATTTTAATATACTCACATAATTTTGATAGGGTGACTTCAGGTTAATTGGGGCATTTTTTCCCAGTCAACTCAATGGCAAAATGTGTTCCAATTTATCTGAATTCATAATACATTTTCCAGAAAACAAGACTTAGTATTTTTCTTATTAATAATTTTTTTTTATAAGAATTTGTCTAAGAAAAAAAAAAAACATTTAGTTTTCCCTTTGAATTAAGTTTATTTTTCTGACCACAAAACTCTAAATTTTTATAGTTTCTTAGAAATTACTTTTTCTTTTACTCGGTAAAACTTTATTTTAAGGACCAAATTTTAGCTATTAATTAGTTGCTTATTAGCATGCATATTACTAGCATATTGACTGTTTATTAGTACTTATAAAGCACATATTAATGCCTTATTCTGCATGACCGTATTTTAGATCCCTTAATCCACCCCATACCTAAACTTAACAACTACCTTACTAACTATTAATAAGCAGCAAATTAGGAGTTTGTTCAGGGAAAACTCTTAGTTAATAGTGAATATGTGATCCCTATTCTAAAGTGTTACTTTTTACTCTTTTAAATCTCTTAAAGTGCATATTGAATTTTAGAGACCCAGTGAGTCAATGTATAGAAAAATAATGTAGGAACTAGATTTTATTGAAAATATACTTATAAATACACTACTTGAAGCTTCTGGAGTCGTGTTTGTGAGAAAATTGTTCTTCCGCATCTGAAAAACGCCAAAACCGGAAGTGACGTAACAGGAGGGAGTGCGGTCAGTTTAAACAATATAAAAACAATGGATGCAATGAGAGTCTGGATGCTGAGGAAGTTGTAAATGTTTATTCATACTTGTATAACGGACCACAGCCATACAATTATGAGCCTGCTATGCGGCCAAGAGAGCAGGGACAGGCCAGGATTATTCTAATAATAACTAAAGTTTATCCGTGCTATTGATACTGTGACCACGAACTTGACAACGAATAACTTTGCTAAGAGGTCTTTGTGTCTGCGCAAAGAGAGAGAGAATCGCTATTCATTCCTTTCACTTTACAATAATAATAAAAAAAGGTCAACACAGAGAGAACATACAAACTCCACACAGATGTTTTTTATTCACAATAAGCTACAGAAACTGAATCTATAGGACGAATAGCGAACCGCGCTTTGGTTCCTATTTTAGAACAACTTTAAAAAGGGGCTGGGTTTTTCACATGACACAAACGATTATAACAAAGAGTCAATTCTGCTGTTTTCCACATGCACCGCGATCTCTGGCAGTTCATTATAATGTAGTATAATAAACATATCCTATCACACAGAACTGCAGAATACACACACACACACACACACACACACACAAATATCATGCATTAATCTCGAAAAAGCTAATTTGTTCCGGATTTGAATACTGTGTGATAGTATATTGCGATCCATTGTTTTCCTATTGTTTAAATTGACCGCACTTCTTCCTGTTATGTCACTTCCGGTTTTGGCGTTTTTCAGATGCGGAAGTAAAATTTTCTCAGAACAATTGAAAAAACAATTAAGCTGTACAAGAGATTTAATTTGTGATTTTGCTTTTCTTTCATGTTTTCTTTCAATGTTCACCCAGGGAAACAAAGGATGTCACACCAGGAACATTTCCTACTTCTGTAAATCACATTAAAGGGGCCATGAATTGAGAAATTAACTTGGGCTTTTGATATATAAGAGGTCATCGTACTAAAATAATATCCTGTAAGTTTCAGAACTGAAAATGTCCTTGTTAGTGAAATAAAAGCTTTTATCGACACCAGGCCTTAATAGATAGGTTAAACGCCTTCTCCACAGAAGAATATCAACGCCTAATTCTGTAGCCCCGCCCACTGATTTGCACATGACATAGTAGGGAAATAACATGAGTGCCGCTAAACCGGATCGAGCAACCAAGCAATAAACATGCTGCTGAAGATCGCAAAATATTGTGCAGTGCCTGGTTGTGGAAGAACGCAGTTGCTGCATAACCTTCCTTCAGATTCAAATATTAGGAATGCGTGGGTGAACTTTATTTTTAATGAAGTTTCAGCTCACGCGAGTAAAACATTGAGCGTTTGTTCGCTTCATTTCACCACGGATTCCTTTGTAAACAAGACACAGGTCGACGCTGGATTTGCAGAGAGACTGAGATTAAAAATCAGTGCCGTGCCATCTACTGTATATTGGATCCGACAGGAATGGTGCAGCACACTTACGTAAGTAAAAATATTTGTACTACAGTATGTCTAACTATTGCTTTGTTAGAGATCGCTTTGCTATGTCCTGATTATGTGTACGTGTCTAACCAAAGTCACAGAAGGCTCCAACTATGAAGGACGCAGCTTGTCAAACAGACACACAAAAAGGTAGTTTTCTATGCCAAACTATTATCCAATCATAGCAGTGGGCGTTTACTTCCAAGTCTTCAATGCGGCACACCCATAAAAACCGAGTGTTTCTCGAGCCGGCCTCAAAACCAGGGTATAAAATAACCTATTACTTATTGATTTTGATGTTTTTGAATGTAAAAACCAAGCGAACGTCATAAGTGGACCTCAGACAACAGTATAAAATAATTAAAAAAGCCAGTTCATGACCCCTTTAAGAATTCAGTTTTGTATATTTCAAGCTCAGAAACACAAACAGAGAGTGTCAGATTTCCAGACAAGCTTGTGTCTGAGAGTGTGTGTTTATGTACAACTTAACCATATTTTGGGGAGATATTTGTATACCCAGAAGTGATATAAACCTGACCAAACATCCAAAAATCTCCCTCTGATGACGTCCTTGTTTGTTAGGGTTTGGTTAAAAACAACAGAAGTGGAAGAATTTGTGTTTTCTAACCTTTTCTTGGTGAAGTTTCCAGCCACTTTGATACAGCTGTTGCCATCGCCACTGCAGATGCCACACTTGTCATACTGGAGTTTAGAGCCAATGATCCCATCACAGCCGGTGCGAACACACTTCCCCTTCACACACACTGAACTGCTGTATGGACGGCATTCCGTCCCATCAACCACCTGAAGGAAAACCCACACAAACCAAATATTACCTACTGTTTGGTATTCATCTATTGCTACAAATAAAAAGTCACAAGTCTTTTTCAAATACTTTATCAAATATATTTACAAATATACTTACACTCGGATTCCTTTGTAAACAAGACACAGGTCGACGCTGGATTTGCAGAGAGACTGAGATTAAAAATCAGTGCCGTGCCATCTACTGTATATTGGATCCGACAGGAATGGTGCAGCACACTTACGTAAGTAAAAATATTTGTACTACAGTATGTCTAACTATTGCTTTGTTAGAGATCGCTTTGCTATGTCCTGATTATGTGTACGTGTCTAACCAAAGTCACAGAAGGCTCCAACTATGAAGGACGCAGCTTGTCAAACAGACACACAAAAAGGTAGTTTTCTATGCCAAACTATTATCCAATCATAGCAGTGGGCGTTTACTTCCAAGTCTTCAATGCGGCACACCCATAAAAACCGAGTGTTTCTCGAGCCGGCCTCAAAACCAGGGTATAAAATAACCTATTACTTATTGATTTTGATGTTTTTGAATGTAAAAACCAAGCGAACGTCATAAGTGGACCTCAGACAACAGTATAAAATAATTAAAAAAGCCAGTTCATGACCCCTTTAAGAATTCAGTTTTGTATATTTCAAGCTCAGAAACACAAACAGAGAGTGTCAGATTTCCAGACAAGCTTGTGTCTGAGAGTGTGTGTTTATGTACAACTTAACCATATTTTGGGGAGATATTTGTATACCCAGAAGTGATATAAACCTGACCAAACATCCAAAAATCTCCCTCTGATGACGTCCTTGTTTGTTAGGGTTTGGTTAAAAACAACAGAAGTGGAAGAATTTGTGTTTTCTAACCTTTTCTTGGTGAAGTTTCCAGCCACTTTGATACAGCTGTTGCCATCGCCACTGCAGATGCCACACTTGTCATACTGGAGTTTAGAGCCAATGATCCCATCACAGCCGGTGCGAACACACTTCCCCTTCACACACACTGAACTGCTGTATGGACGGCATTCCGTCCCATCAACCACCTGAAGGAAAACCCACACAAACCAAATATTACCTACTGTTTGGTATTCATCTATTGCTACAAATAAAAAGTCACAAGTGTTTTTCAAATACTTTATCAAATATATTTACAAATATACTTACACTAACAAACAGCAACAAAAGTACTATGCTAATAACATGTTTTTTTGGACATGATATTCATAGAATGTTTGGTCCCACTTTATATTAAGTGGCCCTAATACCTGTGTACTTACATAGTAACTAGATGTGTACGTAGTATGTAACCACAGTGTAAGTACACATTGGTACATAGTATCTAGAGCTGTAATATTTTTGTAACTACACACATGTAACAACCCTCCGAATGGTTTGTGTAAGTACAAATGTGTAACAGGATATATATAACTACATTTTGTAACAACAATATGTATAAGAGTAATTGGAACAATTTGATCCAGGGGGTGGAGATGGGTAGGTTTAGGGATATGTAAAGTGAGAGGACTTGGATCTCAAGTTGGTGGAGTTGGTGCACCACTGTAATACCAGTGTACTTAAATGGTAACTCCTCAGGAACTGTCCACTTAATATAAAGTGTAACATTCTGGACACCAACCACAGTTTATATGTAAAGCCTAACTTACTGGCCGCTGCTGTGTAGCATTGTTTACTTAATATAAAGTAAACAAACAAAAAAAAACTTTTTGGTAAAGTTTCTTTACCAAAAAGTGCTGTTAGTCCTGTTACACATTTGTACTTTCATTACCAAGAAGTGCTGTTACCAATGTCCTGTTACACATTTGTATTTACACATACCATTCAGTGGGTTGTTACATATGTGTAGTTACACAAACATTACAGCTGTAGATACTATGTACCAATGTGTACTTACACTGTGGTTACATACTATGTACACATCTAGTTACTATGTAAGTACACAGGTATTAGGGCCACTTAATATAAAGTGGGACCGAATGTTTTCCTAATGTTCCCATTAAGTTATCAAAACGTTATCTCTGAATGTTCTCTAAACGTCCGGTTTTTAAGCATTTTAAAGTTTTTTTTTTCTTGAACGTTTAAGGAGTTTCATCATTACTGCAAACATTGAGGCATGTTCTTATGAATGTTCAATTAAAATTAGACAAACATCCAACTAAAACATCTAACATTATGAACAATAATGTTTTAAGAACATTATTAAAGACCAGATAACTTTGAAAGAAATGTCTATTTTGTTCATAACATAGAACGTTTTGCTAACATTCCCATTAAGTTATGAAAACTTTATTTCTGAATGTTCAAATTTTTTTTAAATGTTTTATTTTATAATTTTGCAAACATTATGGGAACATTACTTTTGAATATTGTCTGAACAATCTAAAATAAGTAGTAAAAAAAAAATAAAAAAATTCAGACGAAAGTCCAACTGAAATGTTTAAAAATTTTTCCATGAACAATGTATAAATAATGTTTTTGTGCTAAAGTTTAGAAAACATTATTAAAAACTTTTATTAACATTACTGGAAGAATGTTTGTTCATAACTTTTACAGAACCGTGCGAGAAGAATGTTCCCTGTTAGCTGGGTTTGAAGTATCATGTGAAACCTATATGTTTACATGGCACTTTAAAAAATCATATGGAATTACCATAATATCATGTACAAAAATGGAAATCATTACAGTAAACAAACACGGTACCCCCACAGTGCTTGTGTAATTCTTCAGAAATGAAGCATCTGTTGTCCATGACTTACTCACCCGTTGTGAGAACACTACATAGTATCCCGTCCCTTTGGCCCTGCAGGTGAGTTTGCACATGTCTTTGGGAAGCACACCGGCAAACTTTGGCACCCATTCCACAAAGGTCTTCACTCCTTTAGGGTCCGTCTGAGGGCCGTTACGCACCTCACACTGTTCCTGACGGAAACTCTTACCTAACAAAGACACAAGACAAATATGAGCAAATATATTCAAATATATGAAGGGCTTATGGGATATGTTGTGAAAACAGTGAAATCTGTTTACTGTAAATCCCTTACTATCTAAAGCTTCGAACTGAAGATGAACTTCATAAGAGGCCGTTCACACAGAATGTGCTTTTGCATTCTACTGCTTGTCTCGCACATGATGTGTTATAAAAAACACACAGTGAAGTTAAAAGTTGAATTTTAACCTTGTATTTTTTTAATCCCCTGACCGGCATCTCTCAATTTCTAAACATAAAAACGTGAAACACTAAATCTGGAATACTACATGCATAAGCACACACAGATTGAGCTAATGCATACTATTGCTATAAATACATTATTTAATAAAAATATTAAACTTCATAAGAGGCCGTTCACACAGAATGTGCTTTTGCATTCTACTGCTTGTCTCGCACATGATGTGTTATAAAAAACACACAGTGAAGTTAAAAGTTGAATTTTAACCTTGTATTTTTTTAATCCCCTGACTGGCATCTCTCAATTTCTAAACATAAAAACGTGAAACACTAAATCTGGAATACTACATGCATAAGCACACACAGATTGAGCTAATGCATACTATTGCTATAAATACATTATTTAATAAAAATATGAACTCTTTTGTGTAGCTGACATAATATGTGTTTAAATCCTTTGCTTAAAAACAGCCTAAAATGGAAAAGGTAAGACCAGCATGGAATTATTTATAATTATTGCACAAGAGTTATTATTAAGTTTTTTTTTGCTTTGATTACTATTGTTATTATTTTAAATGTATTTCTTAATAAAATGGCATTACTGTCATTAATACTGAGTATGAGTCAGAGTTATTTTAGTATTATTTATATACAATTATATTATTTTTTTTAATATAACGAATCAGCTTTTATTTTAATGTTTTCCATTTTCATTAATGATAAAAGCACTGTTAAGATTTTTTTATATTACTATTTAGCTTTAATCATTAATTTTATTTTATTTCAGTTTTAGTTTTAGTAATTTCAGTACTTGAGTAACTTATTTTATGTCAGTTAGTTGCATTCACTTAGTTTCACTTAATTCACTTAGTAACATTTATATTTTATTCCAGCTTAATTTCAATTAACAAATCAGCTAAAACTAATATTAGTTCCAGTAACAACATTGGTTTTGAATTAAAAAGTTTATCTTTTAAAAATTCATGTCAGACTGCAGGACAATTTAAAAAGTACTAGTGCAAACAAAATGGTTAATAAAATGCCAAACAAGTACAGTGAACAGTTACAGCATCTAAAATACACTTTGCATTATATATTCATATACATTTTAACCTAAAACCTGTAATGTGTTAACTAATGTAATGTGTCAACTACCTAATTATAATTTCTCTTTACTCTGTCATATTAGATAAAACCTTTCACTGAACTTGTTGCAATCATTTTGGGATTGCTGTATCTGCAAGGGATCGTCTCGGTTACGTGTGTAACCCTCGTTCCCTGAAGGAGGGAACGGAGACATTACGTCAGTAGTGACTGACGAATTGGGATCCTCGCTAGAGAGACCAATCACCTTCGAGCGTTAACAAAACAAGCCAATAAGTGTTGGCATGCGATCTTTGTGTCGCGCACCCCGCCTCGCAGCGCAGGTATATAAGGAGAGCACGTGCAGACGCACATTCAGTTTTTCACTGAGGAGCCGAGACGGTGTGCCTCGGCCGTACAGCAGTGGTACAGCAACTGTGGCGACGGAACGTAACATCTCCGTTCCCTCCTTCAGGGAACGAGGGTTACACACATAACCGAGACGTTCCCTTTCAGTCAGTCACGTTCGACGTTACGTCGTTAGTGACTGACAAATTGGGATCCGTATGGAAAACGCCACTATTGCTGACCCCCTCCAGTGCCCTGCGAAAGCCGGCAAGTCCCCCCACACCAGTTGGGGCGGAAGATAGGACAGGACTTAGGCAGAGGTGTCCGCCACTGCTGTTCCGTACAGTGGGACACTGGATAACACTGGGAAAGCGTACCCAAGTAGTCACATCCTGCGTATAGGAGGTATCATGTGGAAATTACACATATGGACTGGCCATAGGGCAGTGCTACATATGAAAAGTCCCTGCGGTAGACTCAGCCCGCCTGGGGTGAGATCACTACGCAGCAGAGATGGCAGAGAACGTCTGCCAGGGAAAGACACTGGCTTACTGTGAGGGGAACCGTTCCGTGGAAGAATACACATGTGGGATCACCCGAAGGGGGAATCACTACACACGGGCACCTAGCCCAGCACAAGGGCTGACCTTGGGCAT